CAACATGTAGACGCGCCCTTTGTTTCCTTCTAGTTCTCTAAAGCTAGGGGCAGAAATTACATATAAACTGGTATAAATGATCAAATCTGTAACACAACAGAAGTTCAGTGCACATAAACTAATTTTAAAATGGCCAAAATCAGTTGAAGATGCACCTGGATAGACGGAGCATCAGATTTCGCTGATTTTTAGGTTAAATGGATTTACTGAATTTCTGTCCCAGATCCCCTCCAGATTCAAATTAACTCACAGTCCCCCACCTACCCAGGATGATTTTCACCTCTCCTGAGCCCCCCCTTGCAGGGTAGGCAGGCTAGCCTTGGTCCAAGCTGTCTGCTCCAGCTGAGCAGGGAGGCATGCTCTAGCACCCCCTGACTTCCTTTCTGGGCCACTGCAGGCACGTGGCTGCATTTCTGGAATCAAAAGTGAATGTCTGTTCACTTGCTTATTGGTTCAATCTATGCAGTTCAGACCAACCTATGAAGATTAAATTGATTCAGTCTCAGGTTTTTTTTGACTGTACTTAACCTATATGTCTGTATCCATCTGTTTTTTCTTATGCTTGTTTGCTAAGCTGTTTAAAATGGGGAGCATCTATTTCTGTGTGTTGTACATAGCATATCAGGGTCCTTGTCCATCATTTTGAATCAAAGCCGCAACAGTAATGCAAATAATAAATGCTTAGATTTCCTTGTTTTATTTTGTTTTTTTGCACCTGTATGTGGCTAGGATGGATTTGGTGTTGCTCATAAAAGTTCATGAAGATGTCACCCTACATTTTGTGAGGATGGCTGTATATACACACACATTCAGCTATTTTAAAACAGCAGCCTGGTTAGTGAATGCACTGAGGAGGGTCAGAGGTGGATTCTAATATATGCAGACACTGGAGAGAGGGACTGCAACAGCTGGTTGCTTTAAGGCCCTGGCATGATCTCCTGCTGGCCCTGCCAGACAGAATTCCCCAGTGAGGAAGAGGAAACAAAGCAAACCATAGCCAGGTTTAGAGAGATCCATGTTCCTTCAAGGAAAGGCAAAGTTTTTGAGAGTGAAAACCAAGAGCCTACTGGAGAACAGCAGAAGTTGGACCTACTCTCCTGCCCTTGGAGGGGGGAGAGCGGGGTGGTTAGAGTAGGTAAGGTACAGACATGCCTTGTAGACACTTTGGGGTTGTTTTAACCCACTTTATTTTATACAATGCTTTGTTTCTTTGGTTTCATAAGACTCACCTCTGCCTTAAGAATGGTATTTTAGGTCATGACCCTCCATTATTCACAGCTCCTGGAGGAAGCACAGCAGATATCTGCTAGGTAAACAAGGCTGATTTACAGGATATTGTCACTTGGGACCTGGTTCAAGAGTTGGAATTGGGGGGGGATAAAGGTATGAAGCTTGAGACCTGTACATGGGTGTACTAAGAAAGGCCAGAGAAAGGGTCAGAATATTTACAATTCTACATGATTAAGCTCAATGGAGGTAAACAGTTTAGCTTGTCCAGGAAAGAATAGCATCCTTTCGGAGAAGAGGTCAGAGAAGAGGTCAGAGATGTAGTTAGCCTTGTAAACATGCTAGTTAGCTTATATAAATAACTTATTTTCTCTTGCACCTGTGCTTTTTTTCCCCCCTTGCTTTGTTCACCTTTCAGGTAGGACTAATAGTGCTGATTTCCCACCCCCCCCAGTGGATCTAATGTACTTCTTATACAGGCAAAAAACCATTCTACAATGCTCAGTGGCATTCACACGCTTTTGAATGTGCCATTATTTACATTTCAAAAATAAATACATGGAGGCACTGGTCTGAACAGCTTAGCCTCAGTTTTCCAGAGGAACTTAGTTACCACGGAGGCACTAAAATTAGTAGCTGGTGCTCGGCATGTTGCATGTTGATGACTTTTTGAAAATCTGCCCTCCTGAATAGCTACAGAGCATGCTGGGTGCCTTTTGAAAATTGTGACTTTTTTTTTTTTTTTCATATCTCAATGGAAAGTGAATTTAGTTGAAGATCTAGTCCTAGTTGGTGGTGAGCACTTGAAAATCTAGCCCTAGGCACTTCTAGCAATAAGCAGTATTCATTTGGTTACAAGGGGAAACAATCCTGTTGTTTAGAAGAGGAATATAAGATGCTAGAAGCTGTCACCTCCATCTGCTTTAACCTGAAGCAAGAAACACAAACTGCTGGAGAGATTCGGGAATCCTGACTTGCCACTAAGATCCAGATTTCTGGGGATCAGTGCCATCAGGGTAGACAGGTTGCTAGGGTTACCCAGTGTATCTGATGGAGGAACAATGTACCACTGCACAGCACAGAGGCTCCCAGTTTTATTGCATTTTTAATATCCCTGAATGCAAATACATTCTTCATCCAGCCTGTCAGCTAGGAGATGTACTGTTTCTCTGACATGTAAGTGATGGCAAAAAAAAAGGGGGGGGGGAGAGAAATGCAAAGCGGATGGATCTGGA